CATATGAGGCCCACAGATAGAAGCTATGTCCAAGGAGCCTTGCGTTCCTGTGCCAGCTTGAGCAAATGTCTCTTGAGTCTCCCCTTAGCCCATTCTACCTGTCCTAAAGGCTGGCACTGCCAGGCACAGTGAAGCTGATGAGACTGGGCACGTTGAGGGTGGTATGGCTGTAGACTGTAACTTTTGAGACTCCCTGGCTGATTTTAGAGCAAAAGGCAGGCCCATTGTCACTTTCAAGACTTCGTGGCACTGCAAATCTTAGAATAATCTCATGGACAAAGGCCCTGACTACTTCTCAAGCCTTTTCAGTCTGGGTAGGGAAGGCTTCTATCCAACCCCTGTTGGTGTCAATCAGGACCAAGAGGTACTACTTGTGTTGTCCTCTTGGCACATGAGTGAAATCAATCTGCCAGTCGCCTCCTGGATGACTGCCTTAATATTGTACTCCCTGCAGTTTTAATTGGGCATACTGAGGTACTCCTGAGATACACTTTACATCCTTTAACACTTGTTGTGTCACTTCAAGTCCTTTTCTCACAAAGGACTTGATAACCAAGGTAAGAGTGTACTTTTGTCCTAAATGACAAGTATCATGGATAATTTTAATTATTTCCCATGCCAAACCTTTCAGCAGAAAGAGGCGGCCTTTGGTATGGCCCACCACCCCTGAGTTAAGGGTCCATCCCTGGCTCTTGGCATGTAGAATTTCCTTATCAGAATAAGCAGATGGGCTAGTAGCAGTAGACTAGTAGATCACAAAAAGGGGCATTTGAGCTGTTGAGAAGGAGCTGCCTTTGCTTCTTTATCAGCTCTTCTACTGCCCACAGCAATAGAATCTGTTCCTCCCTGATGCCTCAGGTAGTGAATTATTGCCACTTCTTGAGGCAGGTGTAACAGCCTCAATGAGTTGTAGAATCTCTGGGGAATGTTTAATGGGAGATCTGTTAGAAGTCAACAGGCCTCATTCCCTCCAAATAGCAGCATGGGCCTGAATCACATAAAACACACACTTAGAATCAATACAAATGTTTGCTCTTATGTCTTGACAAAGTTAGCACTGAAGTAAGAGCAATCAGCTCTGCCTTTTGAGCACTAGTTTCATGAGGTAACAGGCCGACTCTAACACTCCCACACTGCCAATCACTGTACATTCTGCCTTCCTGTGTCCCTCCTGTACAAAGAAGCTATTGTCAGTGAACAGTTCGGCCTCTGGGTCATTGAGAGGCTAATTAGTTAACCTTCTTCTTAACTGTAGGGTGGAGAGTAGAAACTTTATATAATTATCTTCACTTTCTCCTGGCTCTTGGAGATCAGGCAGAAAGGTGGCAGGATTAAGGCTTTGACCGGTTTCAGTATTTACATCGGGACCTTCTAGCAAGAGAACCTCATATTTTAAAATCTGTCTATCAGAGACCCAGGGATGGACTGGAGCATTAAGAAGTCTCCTAATATTGTGGGGGGACTTGATTGCAAGGGTCTTCCTCTGGGTAAGCTTGTGAGCCTCAGCAATTAATGCCAGCTGCTACTAAAGCTTGCTTTGGCCACAGTGTCTAGTTCCTTTCTTATATAGGCTACGCACTGGTGTCGATGCCCCAGGGATTGGGTAAGAATGCTTAAAGCCATTCCCTGTCTCTCCATTAAAAAGAGAGTATACTTGTCCTGAGTTGGGAGTCCCAATGCAGGGGCTTCCTGTAGGGCCCTCTTGAAGACCTGGAATGCCTGTGGGGCTCTGGGCTCCAGACAAGGGGATGAGTCCCTGAATCTTGGGTCTCCTTAAGAAGGTGGCAAAGGGGCCGCCTTTTCAGCATATCCTGAGACCCAAATTCTGCAAAACCCACTCATCACTAGAAAGGCTCTCCGCTGTTTGAGACACTTGGGCAAAGGGAAGCCCAGAATGGGTTGGATTCTCTCTGAATTTAGTGCCCTTCTGCCCTGAGCAGCCCTAAATAGGTGACCTGGGACTGGCAGATTTGGGCCTTCTCTCAGGATGCTTATAACCTCGGGAGACTAAAAAGTAAGGAGAGTCTCAGTTCCCTCTCATACTTGGATGTTTGTATCCCCATAGAATATCAGATCATCAGATTAATGTAAAAGGATAATGCCCTCTTTCTTCCATTCTAGTTAGTCTCACGGTAGGGCTAGGCCAAAAAGACGGGGATTATTTAAAAACCCTTGGAGGAGGACTGTCCAGGTTAATTTTCCCACCCCTGCTAGTGGATTTTTTTTTTTTTTTTTTTTTTTTTTTTTTTT